TGACCCAAAAGAGCAAAAGGTGTTTTGCAGTCGAAATGCCTACTTCTTTGAAGATGATTACATCCTAGACAATCATCATTAGGAAATCGTTCTTGATGAGGAGAGTTCAGGACTAGTGGGAGATGTTCCACAAGCTCCAAATCATACCCAACTTAGAAGATCTACCCAGGTTTCTAGGCCTCCAGTTCATTACGACTATGATCAAGAAAGTTACTTGATAGAAGCCACAATCAGTGAGGAATATCCCATGACTTATACAAAAGTTATGTTGGACATAGATTCCTTGAAGTGGGTAGATGCTATGAAAGCCGAGAATGACTCAATGGAAACCAACAAGGTCTGGACTCTTGTAGACCCACTCCCTAGGGTGAAAGCATTTGGTTACAAATGGATATACAAGAGGAAGAAGAGCCCTGATGTGAAGATTGAGACCTATAAAGCTCGTCTTGTAACGAAGGGGTATACTCAGAAAGAGGGAATCGATTATGAGGAAACATTTTTGCTAGTGGTCATGCTTAAATCCATAAGGATCCTACTAGCTGTAGCAGCATACTATGACTATGAGATTTGGCAAATAGATGTTATATGACTATGAGATTTGACAAATGGATGTTAAAACCGCGTTCCTGAATGGAGATCTTACTGAACATATCTATATGCAACAACCACAAGGTTTCATTGCTGCAGGTCAGGAATACATGGTGTGTAAACTTAACCGATCCATCTATGGACATAAGCAAGATTCTAGAAGTTGGAACATCCTATTTGACTCTACCATTAAACAATTTAACTTTGAGTAGAATCTGGATGAGTCCTGTGTTTATAGGAAGGTAGTGGGAGATATGGTTACGTTCTTGGTTCTATATGTAGATGACATTATACTCATTGGGAATGATGTAGGAATGTTATGGTGAAGGCATGGCTTTCGTAGTAATCCTCCATAAAAGATTTTGGAAAAGCCTCCTATATCTTGGGATTTCGACTCTATAGAGATAGATTGAAAAAGATAATAGGATTATCACAGTCTACTTACATTGACAAGATTGTCAAAAGATACAGCATGGAGAACTCCAAGAAGGGATTTGTCCTTTTCAGATGCGAAGTCACTCTCTCCAAGGGTATGCCTCCCAAGACTCACGAGGAGATTGAGGGCATGAGAGAGGTTCCCTATGCCTCGGCTATAGGGAGCATCATGTATGCCATATTGTGCACTCGACCAGACATTGCGTAGGCTATGAGTGTAGTAAGTAGATACCAATCTAACCCAGGACAGGAGTACTGGACAATTGTGAAGAACATACTTAAATATCTTCAAATGACAAAAGAGTTTTGTCTGGTATTTGATGGTAATTCACTACAGATCCTAGGGTATACCGATGTCGAATTATAGTCAGACCCAGATGATAGAAAGTCTACATTTGGTTACATCTTTACGATGGGGTCCTGTGCAATTAATTGGAAAAGTAGCAAACAAGGGTCCACAACAAATTCCACGACCGAGGCCGAGTACATTACCGCAAGTGAAGCTGCCAAGGAAGAAGTATGGATGAAGAAGTTCATTCAAGAATTAGGAGTAGTTCCATCCAATACATCACTCATTCCACTGTTGTGTGACAACACTGGAGCTATTGCTCAGGCTAAGGAGCCTTGAGCCCACTCGAAGTTAAAGCACATCGAGAGAAAGTACCATGTACTGCGGGAGATTGTTGGTAGAGGGGACATCCAAATTTAGAAGGTAGCATCAAGGAGAATGTGGAAAACCCATTGAAAAAGCCATTGACACAGAAAGTGTTTGAGAAACACGTGGATAGTATGAGACTCTGGTTTGTACCCAATTTGACCTAACGGCAAGTGGGAACTGTTAGACAATGTATGCCCTTAGCTCCAATCAGATTGATGTACATTTGACATTTATTGTAAATAAACAAAAGTACATAATGATTCATGTTATATCTAGTATGTTTCTGTGTAATTGCCCTTAAAATGGACACTTATGAGACTCGTGTTAGTTTAGAATGTTCTCAGCCGTTGGATAGACCTGGGGAGGTTTATCCTGCCAAGACTGACACTAATGTACTGCCAAGTCGGTTGGGGTGGCTTTTCTCAGCTGCCAGGGTTAGACCTGAAGCACATGTAGTGTGTGTTTGTTAGAAACACTAAACCAGACCAATTTCCAGTTGTGCCCTGGACCTTGGAAACTGATGGACAAAACTGGAAAATTACACTTAACTCTTAGACTCGATTATGGTACTACATTATGGTAGTACATAAGTCTTATCCACTTAAGAGTTTAGATCCAAATAAAGATTTGGATCAAAGAACTCCTCCTAATAGGATTAGGAGAGCTGATCTTGAAGGCTTATAAATAGAGGGGGCAAATTGCTTTATTTCTCACATTTCTACTCACAATTCTCTCCCTCTGTTCTTGCCACCCTACCCAATTCAATCTCCAATTTCTTGAACTGATCAAGATTGGATCTTGATTCTGATTTTTGCTAGAAAAATCAAATTTAATTCGTGCTCACCATCCCTTGCTTGACCCTTGCTGAAGAATTGCAGTTCTTGCTGAAGGACTGCACTATGGAACCTACTTCATCTCAAGCTACGCCATCTTCAGTGGAGGCGGGTTTTAGTACCCTCTTTAGGCGTGAACCCCTACTTTGGGAGCTATACGTGTGGATTCCGTATTAGGTATAGCCCTCCCTTTATTTTGGTTCCAAATCTAGTCTGGTTTGTTTCAAGAACGGTCCTTGAAAAATGCAATTTTTCTAAAACTGGGAATACGATTCTCAGAAGGGAGAAAAGAAATTTTTGAAATTTCACCCACCCACCCTGCATGGTTCGGCCATCCATATGATGGATCTCCCTTCCCTTCAAACCTCACCAGTTCGATAACATATATTCAGTGAGAATGAAATTATCAATAAACTAAGAGAGGCTGATTTCATATCTATAGACAACAAAGCAATGCATGCACAACACGAAAATAAGCTATTCAAAATTGTGAGGATGTCCAACATTTTGTAGGAATTAATTTGATGGCTCTAGACTGGATATTGACCTGAATTCGGTTGATGCTGCAAGTGATAACTCGACTAATTCTGTTTCTGTCGTTTGTTTTCAGATAGTGGCTAACTCTGGAAACAGGATGAGAGAAACGTAGAAAGGTTGGTTGGGATCGGAAGAACAGTTCGGTAAACTCAAATCATTGTTGCCAATAACCGCGTCGTGTTGGTGAAGAATAGGGGCTCCCACTACGTTTAAGGAATCAACACTAACGAAGAAGGCCGATGAGGAGTTCTAAAGTATAATGCGCCCTGGAAAATGATAGCTAACCGCCGGAATCCGACTAGTAACTATTGAGATCACCCCTAGCGCTACTCTGTTCTTCGTCTCAAGGTGGGAGACGATGAACAATATTTCTTTGTCCCTCTCTATTTATTTCATTAGGAAAATGGGAGAACGGTGGAAGGAGATATGGAAAGATGATCGATGGTGAAAGGATCAGAGGTGTGGGTTCTTGAAGAACTGCGACCGAGGCTCGATAGAGGAAGAGGAGAAGAAAGAAGCGGAAGAAGAGAGGGAGAAAAGAGATAGAAACAATGAGAAGAGAGTTCAACGGAGGAGAATTAAGAATGTCCGTCGTTGGTTCACCTTCGGATGGAGAAGACGATGAACAGTAGTCTTCTCTAAGAAGTCCCCCAACAGTGATCCCTTCCGATTAGGTTAAAATGAAACAATCATTTTCTTTTAAAGAATGCAAGTGGTTTTTTTGTAATTTTATAAAAAATGAGGGTAATTTTGTAATTTAGGAAAAGGTTGGTTAAACCGGGTCTAAGGGAGCTCAAACCAAGATTCGGGATGGATGTCTGAGATTTTGGGGCCAAAGATGGAGGTTTGAGATAGGTTTGACTGCGGAGTGAGGTTGTGCAAGTGCGGGCCAATGAAATTGGTCGAAATAGAATCTTTTCAGATGAATGGGTAAATGATGGTCGTTTTGACTGATATTTGATAGGGCGGGGTTCTTGGGTAGTTTGAGGTGATTGTTGGGGTCAGATTGGCCCAACTGGGCCCGGATTGGGCAGATCTGGAAAGTGTTCGATTCGATTAATCTAAGGTCTCAAAATGGAATCTGTGTGATCGAAGGACAAACAAGGTCTATTTCTGATGAAATTTCAAAGGGTAGGATTTTTGGGTAGTCTGACGTGATTGGTAAGGATAGGTTGAACCAAATGGGCCTAGATGGGCAGATTTGTAATCTGGTCAATCTAGGACCTTGAAATGGAATTTTGGTGCTATTGAAGGGAAAACAGAGGTATTTTGGATTGAGATTTCACAGGTTGGTATTTTGGGACGTCTTGGGTCTGATGGTTGATTTCACAGAACTCCCTTGTAACCCCTCGAATGTATTTCCATTGCTGATCTGTTCGTGTTTGATTGGGTAGGTTGCATATGTACAGAAAAGATCTACATCTACAGAACCTCCACATTCGGCCAGTGGGAGAGAGAGAAATTAACATACTGTTTTTTTTTTTCAAATCTTAAATTGGTTTTTTCATTAATGTAAAAGATACAGAAGAACCAAAGTTTTGCTCAAGAAAAGTTAGAGTGGGACTGTGGGTCTGGGGGAGTACAGACGATACCAATTACTTTCACAGGTGAGGTGACATTTTGATTTAGATCGTTTTGTTCACGCAAAGCCTTGATCCGATTCCTTCAAGAAATTACGGATTCCATCTGATTATTTAATTTCCGGTTGATTATTGGTCCAGTATTCCACATTAATGGCAAAGTCAAGAAGATGCGAGTTAATGAACAATAAGAATAAATGCCAAATATGAATAAATAAATTGGTTCAACTTTCAAGCTTTCATTTGAATATTTAGGGGAAACAGAGTACATGAAAGTTGCACCATACTTAGATAGTTACTGCATTTTATTTTCTCGTCATCTCTTTTCCTCTTTTCTTTTACAAATCCTCCATTTTAGAATTTAACCCATTAGAATTCAGCCCAGGATGAGAAAAATCCCATTGCAAGGGCAAAGAATGCAGAAAATGCAACGCGAGTAGCAGAAGAAGCTGAAGGGCCTTCAGGGCCTGGTGCATCAGCGTCCCCTGTGGAATCACCAGCTGGTCCATCTGCAACGGGTGAAGGAGGAGAACTCGCCGGAGTGTCCGCATCACGAGATGGACCTTCAACAGGTGCTTTAGCATCGGATGGGGAGTCTGATGCTGGTGCGGGAGCCTTGGCGGGGCTTAGAGATTTTCTCGGTGCATTTGCGCGTGGGGGTGGCGGAGTGGGCGTGAACTTAATGTCTTCAATGCCCGTAGGGTAGATGACACTGCTGACTTGCAGAACTGAAAGGTTGTAGGGCTGAGCTGCAACCTTCTTGATGAGCTGTGCATCCAGGCTTGAACCTTTGACGGCAGACCCGAACCTCACCTCTCCTGAAGCAAAACGTGTGACATTCAAGAACCCTTGCTTGTTAACAGCTACGCCTGTGGACTGGAATAAGGTGGTGAGAATGGTCGACTTGTTTGATAGCTTCTTGATCTTATCAATGTCGTAGTAGTCGAGTATGACATGCAAGCTCAGGACCTTCTTGATCAGGTCAGGGGACTTTCCCGAAAGAGACGATACGGCGCCATTATCGACAGCGAGGACGGTAATGGTTTGTCGCCGGTTGATCGAATCGGCCAATTTGGTTTGAGTCAGATAGTCATTGAAGTTGCTGAAATCAGAGTACTGACTCAGAAGCCTGGTGATGTTAAACGCTTCCGTGGAAGCGAAAGCGAGGAAAAGAGAGAGGACGAGGATGGCAGCAGTGGCCATGGAGGATTTGGGATTCATCTTTGCAAATGAGTCATCGGTAAACGGGGACCTCATTGGCTTATATACGGATAATTAGGTCTAAATCTGGCTTCTCTCTAAACTGAATGTCCCATTTGGTGGGGTGGAGACGAGCCAAATTTGGCGGGGCTGTTGCTTTGTCAAAAACAGTTGGAAGTTCCTCTAAATTTGGAGGGACGGTTGCCAGTGCCAAGTATATTTGTTGTTTCTCTTATATTTGGGGTTACACCCGTCCGGATTTTTTCGTTAATTATGACCAAACCATCACTGAACGCTATTTTTATTTTGACAAGTAAAAGATAAACACAATGTTAATATAAATTATGGGAAAATGCAGCGGGAAAGAAAGCAACAAAAACTCCTTCAAACCATGGCCAACAATTGGACAGACGCATAAGCCTAGTGCGCAAGGAGCATTCGGTTTAACCGAATTTATAAAATATAAAACCGAATCGAAACTAAATTACTAAAAAGTTGAAAATATTGAAGCCAAATTTTTTGTTCCGGCTTTCGTTGTTTTTCGTTAAAATCGAATTTTGTTAATATTATACAAATGCATATTATATTATAATAATATATTTATATATATTATAATATATGTATATGTTAATGTTTTTATATTTTAATATTTTATATACATATTATAATATGTGTTACATATTAATAATATATATTATGTTATTTATATAATAAATTTTGGTTAATTTGGTTTTTTCGGTTAACCGAATTTCCAATCCTGAAAACCGAAATCGAGATGTTCTAAATCCAAATTAACCGAACCAAACAAACCGAAACCGAAAATTTTGGTTCAGTTTTTCGGTTTTAACCGAACAATGCTCAGCCCTAGCAAGTATCCATCTAAATGAAAATAAAAAAGGATAAATTGCTCAAATCTCCTTAAAGTTTTTGATCATTGCTGAAAATTCCCTTAAGTTTGATAATTGCAATCACCTTCTCTAAACTTTCTTTCTAAAACAGTTGCAAATTGACCCACTCCCTTAGAATCCTCCTCTAACAAGAGGCATGAAAATGCCCAAAATGCCCATAGTTAATTTTGACCAAAATGTTTATTTTCCAAATTTTCTTTTCATATCAATCTCTAACTCAAACCCTTCTCTTTTTCTAAATTGTTTTATTTTTCAAATTATCCCTTCATATCAAACACTCAAGGTAAAGTTCTAACTGTAAAATTTCTTTTTTTGATGATCATAACGTATTGTTTTTTTTTTAGTAGAAACCAGCCTCAATAGTAACTGTATGGGTATTTAATTTGGGCACTTTCATCCCTCTTATTAAAGAATTCTAACAAAGGGGGTCTACTTGCAACTGTGTTAGAAAGCTTAGAAGAGGTGATTGCAATTACCGAGCTTCATGGGAGGTTTCAGCAACGGTCAAAAACTTTAAGGGATGTTTTAGAAACTTACCTAAGAAAAGAAAAGGATGATCCTTTGTGTCAATAGAAAGGCTCTCACAAAACTTGGAAGGGTAGTGTAGCTTTTTCCTATTTTCAACTTATACCCTCCCATATTAAGGGTTATGATTTTTTATCTTGCTATATATATATATATATATATATATATATATGAAGACCCTAATGTCAATTTCATTCCACAAATAAGTTGAGTTACAAATCAATAAAGAACCTATGCCTCAACAAAGAGGAAGTGACATCACAAACATAGTGTACATGGGTGTGGATCGACACTCATAAGAATATGTGCTTGAAGGATAGTGAAAATGATAAACCTCGAAAGGGTGGTCACCTGAGATCCTAAGGAAAAGGGGATCTCATATTTGAGATGAGAGACAGAGAGATCTAGAGAGTATGTGTGTATAGGGGGGAGTGGAGTCTTTGGATACTAGAAGAATTGTAACCACTTGGGGACTCACGAGGGAAGAATTAGGAATGACAATGGAGTGGGTTTGCGGCAGGGATCATATTCTCCATCCCCGACCCTGATTTTGAAATAAATCCCCATCCCCGGCCCTGATCCCTGCTATGAGCTCTGAGAAGCGCATGGCCAGCTCAAAGAAGACGAAGTTGCCGCCCATTTTTCAAAGGAAATGGGCCCTCATTTCAGCTTCGAAATTTTGATTTTATTTCCTCAATAGTGACTCCATTCTCCAAGGGCAAGGCACTTAACTGGGGGGATTCCAAATTTGATAGTATTAGGGAGAGGGAAAAGTGTTAGGCACCCCTTTCTCCAAGTTGTAAATGAGAGCTTGATATGGGAGTTGTTTAGGCTCAATTTGTAGCGAAAAACTAATAAATTAGTAGCTAGGAATCCTTGAAATTTGGTGAAAATGCTATCATTTTCACCCAAATAGATTTGATGTGATGTTATTGGGCCTTAAGTATTGTTTTCACTTAGACCTTTGCATCTCTACCTCTTTATCTCAACTTAGAAGAAGAGGGAATGCAAGTTTCCCAAATTTTTGGGACTTCAAGCAACCCAAAAACAAAATAAACTTTCCTCTCATATATAACCTTGTCAATGAAATTTCAGCAGTTGAATTGGACAAAAAGAGTGCTTGAACGATCTCAAGAGAGGTTTGAAAAATGTCAAGGGCTTGAAGGTTTCATGCAAATCTTAGATGTAAAACATAGTGGGTAGTTTTGAAGTTTAAGGTTCAAATGCTTGGTGGTTTTTCACGAATGGGGCACTCATAGGGGTTGGGAATCCTTATTGGCTCTCTCCTCTTTTTGTCTCTTCTCACCCCATTCTCTTAGAGATGGAGTTAGTCTTTATTTATAGACAAAAGAAGGGAAACCATTCTAAAATTCGCCCAATCACAAAGCATGTGCTTAAAGGGAGTTTTTTGTGAAAAAAGGATAAAGATTTCAAAGAAAATTTTTTTCGGTCAAGTATTCTTTCTTAGTGAAATGATCCTCCTCGATTTGGGGTTGATTTTCATGGGTTTTGTGCATTCCATGAAGTTTGGGGTGTGTCTACCATTGCAGTTTCATATTTAGGGCTACCAGTGGCATAAAACATAAATTTAACTTACTAATGAATGTTATTTTTTCTTTTTTTTAGCTTTTGGTATATGTATCTTTGGGTATTTAGGCATTTTAAATCTATTAGGCTCAATTTTATTGGTCTAGATGTTTTAACAGTTCAACTAAGGGGCTGGCATCATCCCCCACCCTCTTGAGGTCTCAGGTTAGGATAGCTGATGTGGCAAATTAATATATTGCATTAAAATGAAATTTTTCTAGGTTAGCGTTCAAATGGGTGAATTAGACTGTGAAAATTGATGTATAAGGGTGTTTTAGGTCTCTAAACAAGGTGTCATGCTCTTATTGGTCAAATAAAACTTGGATGATGGAGATCCACTATTGGTATGCTCTAATCAATGAGATTTGTTGAAATAGAACCTTGGCTTGATAGAGGGGCAAACAAACAGATTTTGGAATGAAATTTGGTGGAAAGGCATTTTTAACATCCTAAATCTGATGGAAGAGATGAATTTGTGATCATAAATGTGGATTAAATGATTTAGTTCAGATCAAGGTCTTAGCTTATGGTTTATCAATTAACGAGAATGCCTAAAATGATATTTTTCTTGTTTGACGGTTAAACGAAGGAATTAAGTCATGAAATTTGACATACAAGGGATTTTGGAAAATCCTAATATGATAATGGGTTATGATTGATTAAATAAAGCTTGGATGATGATTGATAAGCTCTAAGCAATAAAATTTGTTGAAAGATAATCTTGACTTGATGATGTGTCAAACAAGGGAACTTTGAGTTGAAATTTTGTGTAGGGGTGGATTGAGGTGAGGAAATAGGTTTAGGGTTTGTATTTTAGAAAGAATTTATCGATCTTGATTGACTAGCTCTATTAATTTAGGGTCATTGAAATAGAATCTTGGTATTTTCAAGGTTGATCATCGTAAATTTGAGGTGAATTTGGTAGTTGATCGTATCTTAACGACCTTGAGGCAATGAAGGTGTTGGATTTGGTTTTAAGGAGTAATGGTTTGAGCATTGTGTAGATCGAGACCATTAGAAAAGAAGCTGGTGTGGTGAACAATGAATCTTTCAATTTTGGTCATAAAATTTAACGTATAACTATATTATAGTTTCCTAAGCCTTTGTGATGTTAAATGTTGATATCAATGTCCTCGTTAATTGAGTGTTTGGTTTATTAGTTAAGTGATTGATGTATAGATTATACCAATAGAGACAAGTTCCTCATGGGGACAGATTCCTAAAAGTTTTTAATTAGTAATATATTTTGAAAAGTTTATTTACTTAAAATAAAGAAAAAAAATTCAAATATAAAATTTTAAGGACTTCATTCCCCATCCCCAACTTAATTAGGTTGGGCACCTGATTAGGATGGGCAAAATTGTCATCCTAAAGGAGAATAAGGATTCGACTATACCTCTTCTCCTTAATGGATCCCTATTTATAGTTTTCTTCCTAATGACCTTTTTCCTTCCATGAAGTTCTTTCTAAGCTCCTTTCTAAAAGATTGGCTCAATCTATGACATTTGGACTAATTAGGGAGTTACCACGTTTCCTTACTTTCTCACCCTTTCCCATCGCATATGCGGGATGGCATGGGTTACAACACCGGTACCCAAGTATTTGATGTTTGCATGTTCTAATTGTCTACAATCTCTCTTAATGTTGGCCTTGGGATTTGTGATATGGACACATTAAGTGCTTTGCAAATAGTTAAGTATGCGATTGTGATGTGGTACATGAGTCATATCCCACTTTGGATTGTTATTCGTTATTGCTTAAGATTCTAACTCTACATTGCACTCCTTATGATGTGTGATTAGTGGTTACGAATCACATGTTCTTACATTAGGTCATACTTACTAATAGAATATTGTAGTTGATGTTTTCTTGAATAGAGTTTGTTATTTTGGACTACTCTCTTAACCCTTGCTTACTGAGAGAATTTTTTAATTAGTAAGCATATACTTTGAATTGGGATTAGTGTTATTAATTTGGAATTCTCCC